ATCATTGTGTGGTAATGCAGTTTAATTGCAGATTTATTTTAATATGCTGGCCTGCATTTAGTTAATTTGTTTGTTTGCAGAATTAAAACATCATCCTTAATGACGTAAAATAATAGAACTTCATAAATATGTACAACACAAAAATCTCAAACCATCAAATTTAAGCAGACAAGGTGAAACAAGCAGAATAGGAAGTGGAAAAACTAAACATATACACAAAAAGGTGATACAGTAAAAATAGAATGCTATTGCCTATAATTATATACAGTCAGCTAGCAATCTCCAAGTCTAATCTCTTTCAGAAATGCATGAAAACCAATGGATGCCTGGAATGGCAGAACGTTTTTTTTCAAGTTTAAGTAAAACAGAAACATGGTTTACAAATATGGTTGACTGTCATGTGAAGTAAATGTGACTTGTAGTAAATGGATTAACACGTGTAAAACACCTGGTACAATTCTGCAAACAGCATTATGAAAAATATGCTAAGTCAAACAGGGAGAGAAGAGCTGGCAGCTAAACATGTTATGTCTGTGGACAGAAATAATCTGTTCATTGTTTTATTCATGGCAATAGAAACTCAATCACAAGGTATCAAACGTGCACATAAAGGGGCTTAAAGGATAGTTTGGTGTCTTATTAGGTTTGTGCCCAGTGGTCTATGTTGCCCATCTCTTTTCCATTATTTCTGCTGGTATTTGCACACTGTTACTGTAGCTGGAAATAGCAGGACTTGTTTTCCTCTCTTCAGATGAAACTGTTTGCTGCCCATTCACTGTTGCAGTATGAAAAACCACTTCCACAGACTTAAAAATTACAGCAGACAGATAATCTATTAGAGTAAATGTGGAGCCTTAGTGTTTTCATATCAATATTTCAGGTTCTCTGATTGGATGAGCAAGCCTGGAGGGCGTGAGGAGTGTCACTGTGAATTTAAGATACAGACAAATCTTTTCTCAGACATGTTGGTTACTGTAAATCTCATTACAGTTACAGAAAGAAATAAAAATCTTGGCCAAAAAAGAATCCCTTAAAAGCATAGAAAGGTGTTGTGGTACCTGCGTATACCCACTTTTTACCGTATACCTCCCTAAAAATAACCATATACTTCCGTGTGCCAGTCATGTTCCAATCTTGCTGTGGTGTTAACTGCCTGCAAGAGACTTTTGATCCCTGACTTTAGTCCTTACGGCAGTGCCTCCTCCCAGGCAGCATATGTGTGTAAAATAGCAGGAGGCAACAGACCCTTTACTGGAGTGAATGTAGCAGTACTGCAGTATCAAAAAATACTGCATTACAAAGGGAAATCCTCCATTAAATGTGTCATATAAATAAAAGTATTTAAGTGGCATATATTTTGCAAAATGATAAGTACTTATAATGCAGGAAAATAGCCCTTGCGAGTGTTGCACTATTATACATTGTATTTTAGGGCTGCAGCTTACGACAATTTTCATTTCAATTAATTAATCAATTATTTTGTTTATAAAATGCTTATACATTTTTACTAAACTGTTTAATTTCCCACAGCCCAAGAAAATATTTCGCCCAACCAACAGTCCAAAAACTATAGATATTCAGTTTACTCTTATGTAATCCTATTTTTTAAGAAGCTGGAACCAGCAAATGTTTGGCATTTTTGCTTAATGAAAAGACTAAAACCATTATTTGATCAACTTATCGATTAATTGACTAATCGTTGCAGCTCTATTGTATTATATGATTGTCAAATAAATGTAGTGGAGTGACAAGTACAGTAGGATAGAAGTATAAATACTCAAGTAAAGTATCACTGAGCACCACTGGTGTTGATCACCCGGAATTGAGCCCAGATAGCAGTTAATTTCATTCCATGTTTGACAATTAGTGTTTTAAAAATTAATATCTAATTACATACAGCTACTTAATGTGGACAGTAGCAAATTGGCGGAAACGCTCAACGACACCAATGTTCTCTTTTGACCTGAAATAACCTCAAAGGCGACCAGTAGCAGAGCAAGTGTATACACTGAAGATGAAGTTGGTGTTCCTGGCTTCTCACTATTACCTCATTTTATTGTGGTTTGTTGTGATTCAGGCTTTTCTCTCTCTCTCTGTATTGAATACTTTTACTTTTTGAGGCTTAAAGTGTCAGACGGAGCGGCTAATCAAATCAGATTTAGTCATGCAGGCTATTAGCTGGAAACCAGCAGATGGAGCCAAGTCTTTAGTCATATCCTCAAGACAGGCTTCAAAGCCATTTGACTCATGCCAGATGACGAGGTGTCATTTCCCTCTAGTCATTCTCCTACTGAATAATGCGGTTAGGCTATAGGTATATAAATGACATTACTGTGAGTCTTTAGGATGCGCCTGAATTGGTGACAGTGGTACATAAGAAAGACAAAAGTGATATTTCATGCATGTTTTGAGCTCTAAAGTTTCCTTCTCAGCTAACATTTGAAGGTTTAAGGTGTGAAAACAGCTTTGAAATTTGACATTTATGGTCAGCAAATGTGACATTGTCATTCTTTAGATTTTAATATGCTATTTGTGGGCTGAAAAAAATTATTTGGACAGGAAATGTCACATCTTTTCAATGTAGTTTCACCTTTTACCAAGATATTTGGATATAAGAGGTGGCACATTATACAGAAATATTACTGATCAAGACACAAAGTATAATATATTTCTTTTAAAGAGTGGAACAAGTAAAATTATTCTACCCTCTGTTTTTTGCAATTTTATCACTTGCTGTCAAATAATTAACATTTAAGTTTTTTGTACATTTAATACAACTGTCTTGTTTCACTTGGTCCCCCTTTGAATGGATCAGTATGCAGAAAACTATTGTCTGGTCACTGGTCATGGTTCTGGTTTGTTTTTGGCAGAATGGTCCTGTAAAGACAGGGTCTGTGCCAATACCCACCCTTGCAGTTACTTAAGTGTGTCCACTGTCAAAACATACCAACACACTGACCACTTAACCCACATTTGATACACAATTTTTCTATTACCACATCAAAGTGTATCTCACCATTGACCATGGTCTACTGCACCTCACCAGTCCAGTTGTTGGTGGTAGTGCGCCTATAGGCTGGTTTCAGGATTAATAGTTATCACCAGACATTCATGTCCAAACACACAAAGTTATCATGCAATATTAACAATGTGTTGATGTGTCTTGATGAGACTGATAAGTATAGTATTCCATATCTGACACTGTCAGGATGAATATTAAATATCACATCCTTATATCAAAGATTTTTAGAAATATGTGTGTTTTTCAAACACCAAAACAGAAGTAAAAAACAACTAATATCAAAACCTCCGCAGTGAAAACTGTTAAATATGCAGCTGTGCTGCTGATTGTCATAGTAACACAACACATTTTCTGGCACTGGAGGTTTTCAGGAAGTCAGCAATCAGATAAAATAGTGACTATCAGAGCAGAGATGGAAAGATTTGACACGGTAAACAGAGCTCAAAGAAATGCTGATACATCTCAGCTTTCAAGAGAATGTGTCAGGACTGAATCTGAGCCGACCAACAAACTAAAACCAGACTCAACACTAATTGGCTAATGGCTTCACGGACAAAATTTGGCTGCTTGAGGAAGACAGATTTCCTTCCTTGTCCGCATGTAATTGCGCGTTCCCAAGATCATATATGTGTAATATGCTCTCTCATTACCACCTGTTAATGCAAACAGACCTGCAGGATGGGCTTTTTCTTCCTGAACCCTTTTGTTTGGTTTTGTTTTGTTTTTTCATCCTTGTACACATTAAATATAAGCCCATTTTAATTTAGAAGAATTGACTGAAACACATTTAACATAAAAATGTATTTAATTGTATTAATTTATTTTAAGTAAGTAAGTTAGTATCTGTAAATCTGCAGAACACCTTTTGTTCTGAATTATTGAGAATGGGCCTATTATTTAACCTATAACTTATATAATATAATGGTAAAATATTAAATCAACCGAAAATCATGTATATGTACTTATATGTATACTATAAGTGTGTGGCTCAGGCTGACATAAAAAAAAATCCTTTAAGCGGTGATGTGGTCTTATTAAAAGTCAGAGAACCACTGTTGTAACTGTTGTACTGTGCGGTTGAGCCAGCTTATTTAGTGATCTTGTGAGCTCTGATAAACGCAGTCTGACCAGACCTACGTGCACTGTGCAAATGACCACAAATGCGTCATGCAAGTAGGCGCTTGACTCCTTTTAAATAACGCAGCGTGGGTATTGGGACTGACCCCATAATTATGTTCTGCTTTATCAATGAGTAATTTCCTGCTTCAGTGTGTCATATTGTGTGATTTGATCTCATGTAGAACAAACTGCACCCCTGTGTGAGATCTATACTGCTGAGCTTGTTGTTGGACTGTATGGCACACCACTGCCCACCACAGGAGCTGTTACAACACTGCAGTTCTCTGTGGAAAGTGGACATGTGGGTGTATGATTTCTTGCTGATAATAAACGTACCTTGTGCTCTCCCCTCCTGTCACGTATCATGTGTTTCATTTGTGTGTGTCTCCATTTGATTTTTGTGTTACTAAAATACATCTGACACAAACCACACTGACTTCATGGGAAACATCTGTCTTTGTTTCACTTTATACATGTCACTCCTTAAACCATACCTGACTCAACCCATTGTATCCAACTCAACCACATATTCTTTACCATAACTCTGTGTCATGCACGTCCTCCCTCTCCTCCTCCATCTGTTTGCCCCGTTGTTGCTCTCATCCTCCACCTGCTCCAGAGTTTCCTCAGTAGAAGGTTGAAGGGCTCCATCAAGAGGGCTAAGAGTCAGCCCAAACTGGACCGAACCAGCAGTTTCCGCCACATGATCCTCCCCCGCTTCCGCAGTGCCGACCAAGACAGGTCAGTGTCTGAGAGAGATTTCAAGTGTTCATATGTGTATTATATATATCTGTGTCTAGCTGTGTTAATCTGCATAGTGCAGTTACGTTAATGTATGAAATCTGTTTATGTAAATGTTATGGCATCACAAACTTTTTGCCTCTCCATCTACTTATACAGTCTAAAGCATCTTTCCCGTTGAAACAGGAGGAGGAGTTTTTAACAGGTTATGAAACAGTCTCTGTTTAATATTGATGCCACTATATGACCTACATGAACATAACAAACATATCAACGAGAAGATCGGCTGTTTATATGTAGTTATTCTTAATGCCTGCCACTGGGTATGATTCGGTTGGATTCCCCTTGAAATCAATGAAACGAGGCGGTAGAAACACTACTACACAGACTCAACACAAAATAAAAGTTCCTTGTAGGGGCTTTGAGTAAAAGTACCAATATAACAATGTATAAATACTCCATTACTAGTAAAAGCCCTGCATTCTAAATCATACTACAGAAGCATTACCATCTAAATGTACTTAAAGTATCCAAAGTAAAAGTACTCTTTCTGCAGAATAAACTCCCCTTGTGACTAATATATTATTGTATGTGACATTATTAGTTTGTTAATACTGATCAGTATCAATGTGTAAGCAGCATTTTATTGTTGTTGCTGGTTGAAGTGGAGCTGTTTTTAACTGCTTTATGTACAGTTGGCAGTTAAGTTGTTCCCAACATAGGGGTCTGGCCCCCTGCTGAGCGCCACAAGACAAATCTGACGGTTCATGAGATGATTAATGGGAAAGAAAAGAAAGATAAAACACATTTCAACAACGATTTTATATCCATACATTGGTTTTCTTTTAAAAATATTAGATGTGTCTGTCGATTGATCTATTGTTATACCGATCTATCTGTCTCTGTCTCTATGTCACTCTCTCAACCTGTTTCTATCTCTCCTATCTGTCTTTATATGTCTTTGTCTCCATCTATCATTGTAATAAATTGTTGTTTATTTTACACTCTCACGTCCCACCGCACTGTCAGTTACAATTAAAACACTCAGCATCGTTGCTGTTTCTTTGCCGGGGTGATGAAAAAATGTACCCCCTCTCTCCATGGCAACCAGCAGACAGCCATATGGCGGCTGTACAGACCGTAATGAGTCAGTGGGAGATTTGCTTAATTATACCTCCTCTGTATCATGTACATAGTTGTAGCAGCACTGTCATTCTTCAGGCAAAGAGGTACAAGCTTTATTTTAGATTGGAAACTTTCCTTCTGAATGCCGAATTTTGTACAGGAACATTTTTATTTTGAACAAGAAAAGAGAATAAATGAAAGAATATGCAGTGTGAAATCATCATGTTGTCTGGCAAGTTCGTTGACTGAGTTTTTCTTAACTTTTTCCATTGAGTTTTAGCCTCTTCTCTTTGTCTACAGCTCCACAATGGTATAGATCCCATCACAAGTGAGAAGCTGGAGCAAGAGAATGCTTAAATATTTTCTTTTGAAAATCACTTTAACAATTAATGGACAAAATAGTTGCTAGTTAATTTTATGTCAATTAAAAAATCAATTGAATTCACAAGTGGAATGGTACTAAGCTTTAAGTTTGTCCATTCAGTTTATCTATAAGCTCCCACTCAACAACTGCAGCCAAAACAAACTCAAACTTCAGATGTGAACAAGGTCATCCTGATAATCTAAACACAGGGCGAAAGTGCACTCAGGAGAGCGCTAAAATCTTTTCTGAGCCAGGTGTCTGCCAAGGTTCGTTTCCACATGATTTATTCATTTGGGAAGGTTGTGGATGTCTATTATCCAGGCTGGTGTGAGGAGACATAGAACAGACAAAAAAGTCAAGAGCCTTGTGAAGTCGAGCTTGTTGTTTGCTGTTTTCACTGCTCCTGGTTTACTCTGGATGTTTTCTGTCAGGGATATTGGCAAACATCTGCATTGTTTATTATTATTCTCTTATTCCCCTTATCTAAGGGGGGTAAATAAAAAGAGGGAACACGTACCCTTTTTCAACATGGACTTTAATTCATGCAGCCATAAACATGCTTTTGAGCTCCCAAACATGGTGTAAAACTAATAATGCTATAAATTGTTGCATGTTTTTTAATAATTACTTTTAACTAATTGTTCATGCAATCATCTAATAAGTCTCAGCGTTTCCCTCCTGTACAACACTGTAGGTCATATAGCTCCTAACACTTATACCTTAGCATGTTTTTCAGCAGCATTTCAGTGTCCTGGGATGAGCTATAGTACATTTAGAGCATTCTCTGTCCCACAAACTTTATGTTCTGTATTTTTTAATTATCAATTCAATTGTTTAGCCTATAAAATGTCATAGAATATTGAAATGGCCTGTAATAATTTTCCACAGCCAGAGGTGGTCTTCAAATAGCTTTTTTTGTCCAAATCCTAATGATATTCAATTTGCAGTCTTATAAAGCTGAGACAACCTGCAATATGTTTGTGTTTTTGCAAAAATTATGATTAATAATCAAAATCTATAGCAATTAATCTTCTGCCAGAGGCCTTCAGTTAGTCATTAAATACAACATACATTACTGTAACATTAGTTAAACCATATAATGCAATCAAAACATTTATTTTGATCCGTCTGCTGATTTGATTAATCAATAAATCGTTTAGTTTATGAAATGTCAAACAAAATTGTGAAGGCCTGTCTTTGAAAACATTTGACCTTTTTGCTTGATCAAATGGCTTTAAAGTTGTTGCAGATTAATTGTCTGTCGATTGGCTAATTGACTAATC